GTCTTCGTCCAGTCCTCTAACTGCTATGCCATCCTGGCTCTCCTTTTTGCCCAAAGCTTTGATTTATTTATAAAATAAATAAATTATTATTTTATACATCATCTTTATTGACAAAGATTTTATTTTTATTTATTAAAATCTTTGTCAATAAAGATGATGTATAAAATAATCAGGATTAGTATTAGTTTATATTTATCACAAACAAATTCTTATAATCCTCATAATTATTGTTATAAATAATTAAAATATAAATAATTTTAGTTATGAAATAAAAAGCTTATAAAATAAGCTTTTATATACCACCCACTAGAAGTGTCTCGGGGTGGTTTTACAATAAACGCGGCACAAAATGAAATAGGGCACAGCAACCGAACTTCCAATAAATAAAACCCACCTCAAAACTTATCAAACATGAAAAGGGGGAAATAAAAATAAAAGACCCACCAAAACTGGAGAATTCGTCTTTGCTGCGTCGCATCACATCTGCCTCCGTCTTGCATGGAGGGAGATCTTCTGCTCCATTTCTTAGCAATGCAGGGCTGCCAGCCAACCGATTTCCATGCTTCATGAGTCACCCTCTGTCTCGGTGACTTGTGTGCTCAATAATGACTCTGGAGTTGGAGAGGATTCCTCAAATTATGCACCGTGTTCCCAATGCAGCGGATTTTTCATTTTAATGCCCTGCAGAATTGGAGACATGAACTGTGCCGGAAATCACAGTCTTCGTAACCTCACCTTAAATTTTCCACGGAATTGGTGAAAGGATTAGTTTGAATGTATTTTTCAGGCTGCAAGGGAGAAATATTAGTTCTCATTTTGTTCTGACAGCACGGGGCTTTCTCTGGGCTGCGCTTTTTTCTGGAAGGGCGATCAGCAGTCTTGTTCGGCGTATCTTGAGACAGAGACATGAAGAAACCTGACTGTGACGCCTTGCCTTGCATCCTGCAGAAGATCCCAGCTGGCGTCCCTTTAGGATTTTTTTGTCTCTTTTGCAAGCCTTTCACATGTCTAAGCCAGCTTCATCCACAGGGGATCCCAGAGTGGTAGGCACAGCCTTATGAAAAGAAAAATTCAGTATAAGAACAACAATCACATTCCCAAAGAAGGGGGCATCTAAACTCTCCCATCAACCAACAAACCAATCCACTGACAGCACCCCATGGGAATTTCATTTCCGTCAGTTCCATCACTTGAAAATAACCCATTCGTAGATAGGGGGCACGTGTTCTTCACAACGGATCATGTCCCAAACTTGCTTACAAGAAAAGTACACTTGATAATGCAAACTGGTGTTAGCATACAGCACTGGAACCTTAAATGCATGCTTTAAAAGAGATATAAATGTATTATATTTGTGCATAAAATAGTAGAGCTGGAAGGGGCCATGAAAGCCATTGGGTCCAACCCCTGGA